ACGTAGCACAGTGCCACGACCGGACGCATGACCCCAGTGTCCGGTCACTTCCAGTAAGGTTCCAGCTATGATTGGATGCGTCAGTTAGATCATGACTGAACGTAGGACCCCAGCGCCCGGTCATTTCTAGTAAGCCTCCACTCATGACCAGACGCGTGCTCGACCAGACTCACCCAGCGTCTGGTCACACACAGTCTCCTATGTGCACTGCCACACCAGCAGGACCGGACGCACTCATCCAGCGTCCGGTCACTCTGTGAAATCCTGTCTTTTCTGTATAGGGCGCCGGTGGCACCGTTGGACTGTCCGCACTCTATGGGTGGACACTCCGCCAGTGAAGTTTCTTACCCTTCCTCAAATATACCAACCACCAAGTGTATCATCTTGTGCACATGTGTGTTAGCATATTTTTCACAAACATTTCTAAGGGTGTTAGCACTCCACTAAATCCTAAATGCATATGCAATGAGTTAGAGCATCTAGTGGCACTTTGATAACTGTATTTCGATATGAGTTCCACTCCTCTTAATAGTACGGCTATCGATCCTAAATGTGATCACACTCACTAAGTGTCTCGATCACCAAAACAAAAATGGCTCCTACCACTTATACATTTGCCTTGAGCCTTTTATTTTTCTCTTTCTTTTTTTCAAGTCCAAGCATTTGATCATCACCATGGCATCGCCATCATCATGTCATGATCTTCATTTGCTTCACCACTTGGAATGTGCTACCTATCTCATGATCACTTTGATAAACTAGGTTAGCACTTAGGGTTTCATCAATTCACCAAAATCAAACTAGAGCTTTCAGTCTCGATGTGCTCTGATCATATGGATGTGCTTACTCTAGAGCCAGTATGTGTGCAAGACTCAGACTGTAAAATTATGGGTAACAAATGGCAAACATTGATGGATGATGAATCTAATCACTCAAAATGGGAGGAGTTTAGAAGGATGGCCAAAGCTGGTAGTTCACATAAAGAATGCTCGCTGGTGCTTAGATGGATGGAGTTAAAGGATTCTGATGATGAATTGGAAGTCCAGGAATTGGGAGAAGGGTTTGGTGATGAACTGATGCAGGAGGACAGTATTCAAATGGAGGCTGCGCTAATCGAGGATCAACAAGAGACGAAGAAGCAAAAGAGGAAGACTCAATGGGGACCTACTCAAAGGATCCCAAGACCAAGAAGATACCCAGAAGATGGCAAGACCATGATGCAAAAGGCACAAGAATATAAAAGCTACCTAAACTTGTCTCGAGGTACTAAGCCTTATAACTTAAAACATGTTAACACTTCCAGTACTCTTGAGAGTAACCTGATTAGCTTAACTGCTAGGGTTGATATAGTTTTGGGAGATAATAATAATGTCATTAAGCATAACATTGATGTTATTCAAAACAATGAGATGGAAAGTAGATTAAATTTTTTGCACAATAACCCTGAGGTTAAAATTCCTGTAGATCTGGATGATGTATTAACTCCTAATAATAGGACTGATCCACTGATTGAACAGCAAACTGATACTTCTAATCCTTTGAAGGAGAATAGGCTAAAGGAAAGTTATTCATGGGTTCAGATAGTTAATAAAGGCCTTGAGGCCTCCAATATTTTAAATATTTCCAATAATAGGAGCAATATGGAACATTAGATGCCTCAATAAAAGGGGCAAATTGCAATGCATAATTGATTTTATTAGAGATAATAATTTAGACTTTGTTAGCTTTCAGGAAACTAAAAAAGAGTCTTTTGAAGACTCATTTCTTAACTATGCTAGCAGTGATTTTGTTTGGAATTACTTGCCCGCGGAGGGCATGGCGGGAGGAATCCTGGTAGGGATAAATGAGAGAAAGTTTGAGGCTTTAGCCTAGCAAAAAACAAAGTTTTGTGTGTCGGTCATGATTAAAAACCGTGATACTAAGTTGGTTTGGAGATTTATTACTGTGTATGGTTCCCCTTATGAAGAAGGAAAATCAGATTTTATTCAAGAGTTGTATGATCTGGTAGGAAATTGGGATGGTCCCACCTTGATTGGTGGTGACTTCAATCTAGTGGCTAACAGAAATGAAAACAGTAATGGTGTGGTTAACCATAAGTGGGTAGATAGCTTCCAAGAATGGATCCATCACTTTGGACTTTTAGAATTGAAAAACTCTTCCAGATCCTATACGTGGACCAACAATCAAGACCAACCTATTATGGCCGCTATAGATAAATTGATTTGTAATACACATTTTGAATAAAAGTTCCCTCTAGCGTATGTCACTGCTAAGGCAAGAGCTGGAAGTGACCACGTCCCTCTTATCATGAATTTTGGAATCCAGGAGGCTAGGAAGCCTAGTTTGTTTAGGTTTGAAAAATGGTGGCTTGAGCAACTAGATTTCAAACAGTTAGTGACTAATGTATGGAACACTAGCTGTGCTTCGGAAAGTGCCATAGATGTTTGGCAGTTTAAAATCAGGCTTCTGAGAAAGAAGGTAAAGGGTTGAGCTATAAATATTAATGTAGACATTAAAAGACAAAAAGTAGAACTTCTTAAGGAATTCAACATTCTTGATAGGAAATACGAAATTGGCCTCCTGCTACCAGAAGGAAAGCAAAGGATGGATGATATTGTTAGGGATCTAGAAAAGATTGGAACTTAGAGGAGATCAAAGTAAGACAAAGATCTAAGGATATAAATATTAGGGAAGGTGATAGAAATACTGCCTATTTTTAGGCTATTTCTAGCCAAAGAGCTAGGAAGAAGATAATACCTGCGTTAGAAACCCCTGATGGGTTGTTAGAAGATACCAAAGACATGCTTAATCATGCAGTGGATTTTTACAAGCATTTATTTGGAGTTGAGGAAAATCTAAGAGTTCATTTGGGAGAGAACTTTTGGGAGGAAGGGGATAAAGTTATTGATTCTGAAAATGAGCTGTTAGAAGCTCCATTCACTGAAGAGGAAATAAAAAATGCGGTGTTTGACTCTTATGCTGAGGGGGGGGGGGGCTGGCCCTGATGGCTTTTCTTTTCTTTTCTATCAATCTTTCTGAGATGTTATAAAGTCAGACTTCATAAATTTAGTTAAAGATTTTGAAGCTGATCAGCTAAATCTGGATAGGCTTAATTACACGTTCATTACATTAATACCTAAAGAAGATGAGGCTAAACATCTTAAGAAGTTTAGACCTATCAGCCTTATCAACTACAGTTTTAAGGTGTTTGCAAAAGCCTTGAACAATAGATTGATTAAGTTAGCTGACAGACTTATTTGTCATAATCAAACAGCATTCATCAAGGGGAGGTTTATTCTCGAAAGTGTGGTAGCTGCCCATGAAATCATTCATGACATACACCGAAATAAGGAGAGCGGTATAATTCTAAAATTAGACTACGAAAAGGCATATGATAGGGTGAGTTGGGACTTTATTGAAGAAATGCTAATCTCTAGAGACTTTGGAGCTAAATGGAGGAGTTGGTTGAAAAGAGTTATTCAAGGTGGTTCTATCTGTGTTATAATTAATAATGAGAATAGTGTCTATTTAGTTGCAGATATTTTCACAATCAGTGCTAAGATTACGCCAGAAAGAGCTCGAACAAGGAGACCCCTTATCGCCCATTATGTTCAATTTAGTTGCAGATATTTTCACATGAATGCTTATGAAAGTTGCTAAGATTAATTTGGTTTCTGGCTTTTACCTAGAGTTGAAGAGGGGGTATTATCAGTCTGCAGTATGCAGATGACACCCTCCTCTTTCTGGAGGATGATTTAGATAAAGCTAACAATCTCAAATGGTTATTGATTTGCTATGAAAAAAAATGACTGGCATGAAAATCAACTATGATAAAAGTGATCTTTTGACAATTGGTATTGAGGAAGGAAGGGTTAATGATTTGGCTAAAATCTTTTGCTGCAAAAAGGGAGGCTTTCCTCTCAGATACTTGGGTGTGACTTTGCACTACTCGAAGCTAAGAAGGAAAGATCTCCGACCAGTGATTGACAAGATAATAAAAAGGATTGCTGGCTGGAAGGGTAGGCTCTTGTCCTATGCAGGACGTTACTGTCTGTTCGGCTGGTATTAAAGCCGGCTGATAAGCCGGCTGAAGCTTGTTTTGTTGTGAGAGAAAAATACTGTAGATTTTAGCTGATAAGCCGGCTGATAAGTTCAAACGAACAGAGGCATGTTTGGCCAGCATTCCGATCTATCTTCTATCCATTGTTAAGTTCCCAAGGTGGGCCATAGATATGATTAATTCTCATATGGGTCGGTTCCTATGGAATAATAATGAAGACCATCATAGATATCATCTTGCGCATTGGCAATTAGTTGCGCAACAGAAGAAGTTAGGGGGGCTTGGTATCCTAGATTTGAGGAACCTAAACCTTTCTCTGTTAAGCTCGTGGATCTTTAGATATGGGCTTAATAGGGATGCTATCCGGACTAAGATCACAGATTACAAATACAAAACTATAAACCTAATATATGTTGTTCTCTATGCAACCAGGTTTCTCCTTAAAATAGTATATCTATATAGACTCATAAATGCTAAAAATATCTTCTATAAACTTCATTTTATCAAACTTAACAAAGTTTGCCCCAATCTAAACCCATAGTTGCTTCATCCTTTTTCGGACACAGGCCATACATGGACTACAATGACCCATCCATCCGCCTCCAAGAATTCCATTACCAACTCAATCAGTAAGTACCCATTCAAATAGCCTCTCTTCTTCCAACAGTAGCATATACCACATATATTTAACATTATACCATCGTTAGGTGGCAAAGCATCTCCCTTATCTCATACAACAACATCCCAAGTACAATATCACATCACAATAATACCATATACGATATACTCGGAGTTCTGAGTTTCCTAAACCACAGCAAAGCCTACAACAATGTTGTTAGAACATGCACGCTGTGTGTCCGAGGAGGAGGATTCCGTTTGTTCCATGTCAGGGAGCCTTATCCACCAACCCAACCAACCAGAGCCAACAACCGCTACCCTACTACTCGCGGATCGAGTTGATATCGATGTTGGGAGTTCTCGAGTCCATCTGCCGCATCATGCCCGATGCCCACCCGCCGCTCATCGCAGGAGGAGGGGCCATGCTGCTGTGCTCTGCAAGTGCCATCGCAGGGGCCACCTCTTCGTCGCCGGCATTCGCCTCCTCGGGCTCCATGTCCGCCTCGGCTTTCGCCTTGTTCTTCTTTGAACCTCCGTACATGAAGCTCCCCACTATCACCTGCAACAATGCAAAACCAGTGCGTAAGAAACAACCCAACCACCACAACGGTCCATGAACGGTGGTCATGGTCCTTTTTCTTTATGCAGATGACACAGCAAACGAACCATATGACAGCAAAATTATAATACTGACAGTATATTCATATACTACTTCACAAAAGGTCAGATGATCTATCTTCTATCACACTCACCTGAACTGTTCCAGCTGCTGTCAGGACTCCACCTACACTCCCACCAATAACTCTGTGGTCAGGACCACACAAAGCTATGCAAAGCCCTCCGCTCCGGGTCCGTGTACCACCATCATCTAGCACCAAGTACGACCCAGAAAGGCACAAGATCTCAAATCGACCCTGCCAAATCAACAATAAAGCATAAGGGTACAAAACTAAATGAGAACAATATAATCAAAGTATACATGAACAGCTCCATGAGAAACAAGGTATCAAGTATGGCCTATAGTGCAACCTAAAACAAGGATAACACCAACCTTGGACTGAAAGCAGACGTTCTCAGCATACTTAACTAATTAAGAGACTGTATGCAAACAAATGCCTCCTTTTATGATTTATTTTCCCCCTTTGATAACTATCCAGGGAAATCCTAGCAGGAAACCTTTTGTTTAATTTGCACCGTGGCCAAACATTTATATTCAAATATGCAACAAGAGTCTCGCTAAAAAAATGCAACAAGTGAAGAACAGAACACATGCATGCAGTAATTTTTACGCAAATGATAACCAACCACGACATACCTCGTATGTAACCACTCCCCCAGAGTCTGAATCCTGATGAAGGGTTGCTGTAGAAACAGCTCCAGTTGCTGAGATGATACACACTGCCCTTGGGCCTTGTTGTGAGAAGGCCATTATTCTGGCAGCAACGTCCTGCACAGACAGGAAAGCTATAATCAGGCTATAATCGGCACCCCCATGGTTGGTATTTACCAGAGATAACAATTGCCACAATAGCAACCGCCAACCAGATAGCAACATAAATACAACAAGAACAAAGCATTTTAGTAATTTAGTCCCAAGGTAATTCTCTAGTAGATAGAAACATAGATCAATAAGAAAAAAATTATTCTCAAGTAGATAACCCACAAAGTTCAACTGCGCTTTAACCAAGGTTCAATGAACGAGCCTGGACCAGGAACTTGTAAGCACAAAAGTTTTCACTTTTAAAAGAAAACCATAGGTGCATCGGATTTCAAGGATAAGAGGATTTCATTGGATATATATGAAATTAGGTGTATGATTGCCACGATAATACAGCCTAAGGCATGAAGTGTCATTGTAAGTGTCACATCAAGCAGCTTCAGAGGGCAGAATACTAATGATGCATCATAAGCAGGTCCAATTATCATAAGCAGGTCCAATTAATTGGATATGCACACTGGATATTTAGGTAAACCAGATACAATTTGAAGGTAATTGGCAGCATCAGATACAAACCATCACCACCCATCACTTATGCCACTACGCAAACAAGTCCTACTCCCACATAGCAATCATGCATAAATCAACAATGGGTGCAAGCGACCCTTTTGGAAATTAATCATCAGCTAGTGTTCATTGAAACTTACCTCTCCAGGTTGAATAATAATCACATGAGGAGTAAAACCTGTTCCAACAGAGCCAAGAAACCACTTTCCTAAACAAGACAATAGAATTTCATCAGACGACAAAGATACAAAATCAGCAGTTCATGCATACCAAAAAAAAAGGGAACGCAAAAAAACAAAAAAGCTAGTTAGGAAAAGGGTCCACTTCTTTCCTTTTCTTTTGGGAAGAGACAAGGTAGTAAAAGAGGTCAACTGCTTGCTTAACATAACAGAGCCAGCAGACTATATAAAATATGTTGTCAATTCAAGATCATTGAATTCATGATCTCAATTTAGAAAGAAAAAAAAGGTGCTTAAACGACATGTCAGGACCTACTCAAATTCAGAGTAAAATCCCGAACAGGTCGTGCAACAGATACGTAAACACAACAGAACACGAGGGGATTGTATTTGCCATGATGACAGTTATATATTCCAGAGGGCAATAGGTGGATAACGCCCTAGCAATCATGGGGAAGACAGGCAGTGGATGCAACGTAAGAAACAAACCAAAAGCACAGGTGCGACAGAACACATTAATCAGAGTTGATCCAGTTGCTAGATAGAACATATAAGCTAAGTCCAGTTTTCATCTTAATAGAACAATATGCAATGTGTCTGGATTCATCATTCAAGGAAGGTCCAACATAACACAATAGGCGGCCACAGTCCGAGCATATACATACCCAAGAAGCAATGTGATCATGCGAAAAGTTATCCGTTACAGAGATTGAAACGTACCACTAATTGCCTAACACATTCCACTCAGTTTCACAAATAAAGTACATATAAGCCATATGAATTGATTAATATAATGCATAGGGTATGTAAGTGAAATTACAAGGCCATGGAAGCTCACCAAGCGAAGCCAACTGTTGCATCTTTCCAGAGCCAGGTGGCCGCCCCCTGCCACGTTTCTCTGATGGCGCACCCGAACCTGAACCCCCTGATCCCACCGACCCAAATCCAGAACCTGGAGTGGTGCAAACCATGGTTCCCATCCCCGGGCTGGACGAGTGAGGCGTCGATGACGAAGAGGGTGATAACCCGAGAGTCACCGCCCCATCAGGCTTATACTTCCTTGGCCTACCCCGCTTCTTCTTCACCTGCTCATCCTGGCCAGGCCCACTCCCCTGATCCCCCTTAACATCGGCGCTCACGGCCGCACCCATGCCAATGTCCATACCACCGCCGCCGGAGCTGGAGCCGCCACCGACGCTGTGCTGCGCCACATGATGTGACGCCTCGACATGGTGGTACCCCTGCCCAATGTGGGGACCCCCAACATGCGGGGTCTGGAATGCGTACCCCGCAGAGACAGCATCAAGATGCTGCCTGTACCCGCCGGGAGCCGGGCCGTGGAGCCCCGCCGAGTGGCCGGGGACACCAGGCGCCCCGATGCCCCGGTGTTGCGCGTAGAACGACGAGAAGTTGGGCCCCGACGCCACCGTGGACTCCCTCCCGTCCATTCATAGGAATGGGCAGCGCCGCCACCCACCGATACGCAGGCGGGGGGCAAGCCTAGTTGCAAGGAACGGCACAAAGGTGGCTACTTTGTCTCACTGTTCGAGATCAGATGCTCCCGAAAGGTATTGGAGCGAGCAAATGGACGCCAGAATCTCAACTCTGAGGATCTTGCCCTCCCCCCAGGAACTCTCGCGCAAAACCGCAGTTGCTTGTGGTGGCGGGACGAGGCGAGATCAGATCGAGGAACGAGAGATCTCAAGAAAGCGGTGGGATTTCCGGAGACTGAAGGAATGGAACGCGAGACATGGATGAGGGGAAAAAACACAATCTTTGCAGCAAATGGCCGGAGCGAGAAACGGAGGGGATTTGTGGCGAGGCTTTCGGTGGAGACCGACCCTCTGAGACGAAGGGTGGCGGCGCCGGAAGGTTGGGTGGCTCGCGCCGGGATCTGGTCGGCGGCGGGTGGGAAGGGGGCGATCCGATCGGGAATGGCGATGCGAAAATGGGGCGCTAAAACCCTAGAGATGGGGGCTGACGGAAGGAGCGAGGGATCAGACTCAGAGGAGGGTGACGGACCCAAGAGGAGGAAGAGCGAGCATGTATGATGTATGTGTGCGAGGAGAGAGAGAGAGAGAGAGAGAGAGAGAGAGAGAGTGAGAGTGCGGGAGGAGGGAGAAGGATTTTCTGTGAGAGGCACAAAGAATGGCACATAGCTACTCACTGTGACTCTGAGCATGTGTGTAAGTTGAGTGTGGTGGTGAATCACACCAACCGTGGAAGTGTTGAGTTATGGTTCAAATAACATGTCATGATCAGTATAAGGTGATTTTATCACTCTAACAGTTAGTTTGGAAAACTCAAATTCCCTTAGAATTCTTGACTTTTTCTAGGATGAGCAAACCATGGGATGTCATTTGAATAAGATTTTTAGTTATCTATGGAAGGTTTTCCCTCCCTGGGTTTGGCTCCCCTGGCTTCCAAATTAGGTCTAAGATTGTCATCGAGATTGTAAGGTAATCTTAGATTTTTCACTCTACCTCTACCGGACATTTAAGGCTATTTTCACCTATCACAATATTTTCAAACTTTTTTTTTACTTTGACTAGCAATGTCTATACGAGCATACGGATATTATATTTAAAAAAGACAATATGTTTTAAGAATACTTCACACCTTCATATAAGATTCTACATCGTATAAGCCTGCGGCACCGTGATCGAGAAAGGCTAAGGATCGCCAATTTTTATTTAATCGCCTCCTCCTCCTTAATACGTAGGTGTCTGTTCGGCTTCGTGAGTAACCGGTTGCTAATCCCATACTAACGCCGCGCAAAAGGTTGTTATCATGTATGGCAGCGCACGCTCAAACTTCCTCTTCCCTGCCTCTAGCCCTCTACATCTAAATTCACAATGCCCGCAACTTCTTGTTTGATCTGCTATGAGTCTACAAATAGACTAAAAATTGGATGTGCTGGGACAGAAATTTTGCCACGATATCCTCTAACTGTCACTTCTCAAATCGCAAGCGTCTTGGGAACGATTTTTTTCACAATGCCATGGCCTATATAACTCTCCATGGAGGAAGACTATGGCTATGAAATTCCATTGAACTCACCCTCCTTCTCTGATTCAAAGTTCTCATTTTCTGTTCCGCCATATCTTCCTTCTAATGATTTTATTCTTTTGTTATCTTTGTCATGTCGACTGACGTAGGTGATGGTGATCTAAGAACAGGCAAAGTGCAACGTGATGTTGTTGCAGATGGCGTTCATGTTTCTTGTGATGCAGTAGCATATGTCATCTTAGGTGGAGATCCTGGTGCTAGACTCAAACTTGTTAATCTCGATTGAAGCCAATTGCACTAACCATCCATGACGTCAAGTTCTTCCTCTTGGCCATTCTGGACACCTTATCCCACCACAGTCTTGCCAGCAATGGACATGCCCGTTGATTCTCCTTTCCTCTTGTGTTGCCCTTGTGCTAGTCATCTTCATTGCAAGAGTCCGACGCCCAATTCACCCCTCGCACAAATTCATCCTCAACAGTGGCGCTCTAGATATCCATGGCGTTGTAACACAACAAGGCAGAAGCGTTGCGACTCGATGAAAGGCGGCAGCGGCATGAGAAATGAGAGAAAAGATTAGGTGATGTAGACTACTGGAAAATGAGATTTTGCTCATATGACTTAGACTGGAAGGTGTAAATGTACAATGCAGATATATGTTGTTAGTCTAAATAACATTTTTTAATTTTGATGGTCAAGTTTAAACTTTGTCTTAGGAGAATAAACTTTGGCTTATGAGATTAAAGCATGACTCGTGGTAACACTTTACATGAGCCCATGGATATATATTGGCAACTAAAAAATACCTTTAATGGTAAGTGTTTGGTTGGGATTTTCTATTTAAACCCCCAATTCTAGAACAAACAAAATATTTTAAACTTCTCTCTCTAAACTCTCATTTTATCCTTCCGATTACCTCTAACCAAACGTGTCGTAGATTAGGTTATTAGGCAATGGGTTCCAGCTGCACAACCATCCAACCAACTATTGCGACCTCAACAATGGCACGTGCAGCAGCAACAAGAAGCAAACACTCCCAAGGATTTCATGGAGATGGAGCGGACATTTAAGATTATTTTACCCTAAAATGATATTGATAATCAATTGTTTATTCAAATAACTTCACATGACTTTACTGATTAAATATACAGGTTCATGAAAAAGTTTTTTATGTTCCAAATGCACACACTGATGAGATTCTTTATTCGTGCAAAAGATGTGTAAAAAGACATAATCTACCTAGTGTGCTCTGTCATCTCAAACAATAAAAAAAAAATGCAGTCCCTATACCTTTCTTTCCTCATCTATGTTTGAATGACTGAATTACCCAACGATGTCTTGGGATTTTTTCCGTCCATTTTCGTCCCTAATCGGATTAACCAAATGTTTTTTTGGTAACACCAGTGCAAACAGAGTGGCACGGGATGGCCGTGACAAAGGATCCTAGCCTTGACCGGGTACGGGGAGACACATCGCTTGTTGAACGCGTAGGATAGGATGGCAGTAATAACTGCGCTGTGAAGCCACCCCACATGGCCACATATAGCTGAGCAAGCTATTGCCATCAGAAAGAGATATTTGTATCACCTGTTCAAGAGGATTATTAGTACAAGAAGATATTTATTTGTCCAAAAGAACGCATTTCAACGGAGAGAGAGAGAGAGAGAGCTGTTGATATGCATGGAACACAAAAATTCAGCAAGCTCAAAGGTAGCCCGTACCCCCCACTGTGTGTGTTTCTTCAGAAACGGTTTCTCTGAAATGACAAGCCGACTGACATGGTATCCCCCTACTACTTGTTTCGATTTAGACCTTGTTGGAACATGATTTTTTTTATTACCGTGTTGGTTCTGTAAAATTGAACCGATTGTTTAAAAAAATTATATTAATTTTTATATATAAATTCATTCGTGCGTTCCAAAGTCCAAACAGATGTTTATTTCGCTCTGTTCGCTTAAGCTTATTCAAAATTACTTTTCAGTTATGAAATAGTGTTTTTCTCTCACAACGTTTCAGCATAAATCAAATTTCAGCATCAGCAAACAGTGTTTTTCTAGGTCCGAGAAGAACGAGTCCAAAGGCAGGCAACAAACAGCTCGTTCGCTTATTGGCTTCCGTCAGGACTTATCAGCCAACCAACAGTGTTGTTCTCTTAAAACAAACCAATATCAGTCGGACTTATCAGTTCAGAAATCAATCAGCGAACAGGCCGAAAGTGGTGACATGAGCATCACGTACTGGCGTTTGTACCCGCTCGCATCCAGTAGGTTCCAATGGAGCACAGCCTGAAGCTGACCATGTGCCAGGCCGCTTTCGACACCTCGTCGCTACTTCCGAGGAGATTAAACAACTGCTTTATTTTGTTATAAGGGGATTAACCAACTACTACTATACCAGCAAAAGGACAAAATGCAGGCACACCAAAATAGCAGCATAAGTATGCATATCACAAAATAGGCTTTTCTCGTAAGGTTGTTATAAGTAACTTATTGTTCGCAGTGTAAATGTACAAGAGAGAAAGAAAATATAAAAGTGGCTATGGTAATTTAGAAGACTCGATTTAAAAATAGCCAGGATTTCTAATATAAAATTATATTCTAGTTTTTTAGAAGTCAATACATTAAAAATGTCTGGAGAAAGGGAACAAATATGTTCTCTACCTTTTTTAGCAACTTGAAAAACTTATTGATTTACTAATTATTTCTTTTTTTTAACACCAAAGACTGCGAAGGAGTTATTACATACTTGCAAACAAGGGGGGAAAGTTGCAAATTAACTAAAAGCATCTACACCAACACAGAAGGAGGTCCTAACATCCTCTTGAACCGACAGGACTGGAGCAAGCACTGGCTTTTGAAGTTCATGACCCACATGTTCAAGGTTGGATTTCTTCTCTCAAAAACCTTGTCATTCCTTCAACTTCCAAATCTCCCAGCTGGCTATCAGAGTTGCGTCCGTAAAGAAGGACAAGTTATACCGCGACCTAGCTTCGGCTAATCTTGGGAGGAGGGTTAGATGTTCTTCCCACTGAATACCAATCCTTTGCCTGGACTTTGCAAAGGGACACGTGAAGAAAAGATGATCTATGACCTTGTTTAGTTCATTCTCCTAAAGTTTAGTCCCTATCACACTTGATGTTGAGACACATGCATGGAGTATTAAATATAGACTAAAAAATAATTAATTGCATAAGTTACGACTACTTTGCTAGATGAATTTTTAAGCATAATTAGTCCATAATTTAACAATATGATGCTAAAGTAAACATGCGCTAATGACGAATTAATTAGGCTTAATAAATTTATCTCGAGGATTACTGAAGACTTGTGTAATTTATTTTATTATTATTATCCCAACACTTCCATATGACACCTCTATGTAACACCTCTAAACTTTAGCCATGAATTTAAAACTACCGTGTCTTCTTCTATCTGATCTTGGCACATAACACAGAATACCGTACCTTTTGTTGGTTGAAATTTCTACGTCTGAGCATCGTTTTGGCAGAGGATTTTTACCAATTGTTTCTTGTTAGAAACTACTAAAGATGCTTTTATATTTAGCCAAACTTAAGAGCATCGACTCCTCAAAAGGCCTATAAAAAGCAAAAATGGCAATCTTTTAGAAACCGAGGGAATAGTGATTAAGAAGTTTGTAATCTGAAAACGTTCAGGAAAACTGGTGGCAAAAAGGGCAGGCATCACTCGTCAACACTGAGTCGGCACACGCAAGAAAAGAATGGAATGATTTCAGTAGACCCACACGACACAACACTGTAGACTGCCGCATGTAAATGCTGCTGCATCCCAAGCAAAAGAGCATAAGGATCACAAATCTGAATCAATACCATTAATATTCTGTTGCCAACTTTGCCATTTCGTTCAGAGTTCCAACATTGGCTCGACACTTAAGCTGATGATGTTTATGCTCTGCAGTCATTTGTCGACCTCCATGGCTTGAGCAGCTTTGGCTTTTGCTAAGGCTGAAAGTTTCGTCTTCACCTTTTTCTTCCCAACCTTAAACTGAGCACCCTTACGTTTCTTTTCACCGCCATCTATCTGAACAATTTGAGAAAAAAGAACGACATTAAGACAAATGTGGCATGTAGTTAGGCTGTTAAAATCTTAGTGTTAGTGCAGCATCATGGTCAAACATGTAGTGAAATCTGATGAACTGATGAAGGGAACAAAATTTAAGCCACCATATTTGTTTATAGCTAGCAATGCATAAATGAAGAATAATTTGCAAATCGCAAATCTTAAATATTTTTTTTTATTGTAGACTGTCACAGAATAAAGGGGATTATAAATGTTTCTCTGGAGCCATAGTTAGGTACTCCAGATCTTAATACAAGCAAAAGTACATAACCAAACAACAACAGCGAAATTCAATGGGCCAGAGGAGGAAAAAAACCGTTGTATAAGATATAAAAAGCCACCACCGTATAAACTAGAGTAACCAGAAAATATCAGGGCCAAGCACTGAATGCTACCAAAGGATTACGGTTCCGGTTTTGGAGGACAGCAGATTAGCACTGTTTTCCCGGAGCCACAAAATTATCATGAGAAGCACATCAGACAGCATGTGCAGCACAAAGAATCATTTAGCTGCCACAAAGAACTTAGCAACAAGTCAACAAGTACATAAAATGGCTGATAGGAAAAACTTCAGATCACAAATGTAGGTAGTCAAACATAATGCTGAATTGTGCAAATGAGAGAACAATTCGATAGAGCTTAAGAGTAAACGACAGTTTTCGTACACCTAAAGTGCACTACGTTTGTTATTAATAACTGCTAAACTGTTCACAGGAGTAAAACCGGACCCATGAAAATAGTTGAAATGATAAAACAATCAAAGATGGGATATATGTAACTTTGATCACAATCAAAGCAGATGCAAGCGATCCCGTACAGATTCCTAATGACCGGTGAGCAAGGAATTTCATGAAACATAAAGAATACAGATGTAACACGACTCTTACAACTTCCCAGGTAATCAAGAAAATGCCAGGTTGCCTATTCCTTTGGACAAGTTGAGGGACGAACAATGTGCTCACAGTATCATCGTATAAGGACCATGCCTTAGGTTTGACAATGAGAGAAACTATAACTGGTATAATATGGCCAGAAGCCCAGGATCTCACGACAAAGGAATGGGCACAATAGCCATTTTTCACACCTGTCATTTGTTTAGTTTGTTTGGTGAAAAACCAAGCTGGAGCATTGAGAGCAAATGTTGCTGAGTGTGGCCTGTTTGAAGCAAAATCAGGCGCCTAACTAGTCTCTTAGCGAGAGTATTTTTTCATTGTAACTATGTAAAATTAGAGAATCCTTAATACTCTAATACAAAATTCATCAGCTGCAGCTGGTTATTATGATGTTTTTTAACCAAGCTTAGGGCGGCCTTTTCTAAGGCAAATGCTTGGAAATCGAGGTCCAAGCCATTGCACACATAGAGAAGGGCATCCAGCAATGTCAATGAGTAATCCCACTATATTTAATAGTCAGATTAGAGCATCCTCGTGGTTGTGGGCCAATCAACCAATACATCAGAAAAAAGGAAGGAGGAGCGAGAGCACCGGTGTCGGGGTTTTCGAAAAAAAAGAGCACCGGTGTCGGCAGTACCTTCATCTTGGATTTCTTGGCTTGCAGCTTCTTGGACTGCTTCTCCTTGGCCTCCTTCTCCCCTGCACAGCACCAGTATCGATTCCAAGCACCAAATCAGACCACGAAATCACGAATACTCCCCAAGGCGACGATCGAAATTGGACAATAAAGGGAATGGAGGCAAGAGAAAATCGTATCGTACTCTGGAGGTCGAACTCGTACTGCTTCTTCCTCTTGGCGAGGTTGTTCTTCTTCGACATGTTCCTTCCCTCGCCGTCGCCGCCAACAACACAGCCGGGCAGCCAAGGAAGGAGACGCGAGCAAACCCTAAAAGCCAAGCCAAGCCAAGCCGAGCCCCCTCCTCCCTTCCTTTGGTAGTCAAAAAGTCAGTGGGCCGTTAAATCTGGGCTAGTGGCGATGTTGCTTGTCTTCAGGCCCGAGTACTACACACCCGGCACACATGTCCGGATGACGAAGGCCCGGCTACTTGCGAACCCACTCCAAGGCCCATCGTAGTAGCCACGGTGGACAGAGCAGGAAGCTTCGACTCGGACAGGTTGTGAGAAACCGAAACGATACGTGACACGTGTCTCCGGCCGACATCCGCTGGGGCCCACAGGCAGGAGAAATCGTGCGGACGGGACGGACGCGTGACGCGTGGCGCGTGGCCGGCGCCGACGTGTCAATCATCACTCTTTGATCTCTACCCAAGGATTATTTTATGATATACAATAACAATTAAATTAAGCAACACAGAGTAATTTATTAGTCACACCTGCCTCGTTTAGTGATTGCCACAGCAGATAAAAAGTATTTCTCTGAGGCTCCATCTTTCCAAAAGATGGTTTTGATGAGTGTAACGCGTCAGCTCTCCTACTCCTACTAGTACTCAGCACTGAGCTTCTTCAAGCTTCTAAAAGGGGCACGCAGCTTGGCCATCAATCATTTCAACGGCGCTTGGTGTCAGTCTTAGTCTTAGCTCGTGCAAAAAGAAGGGAGATCCGTCCATGGAGTCTAAGGAGGCGATGGTGGTGGCGCCGGCGGCCGGTGCCGGAGAAGCCAAGAGTAAGACTCACCACTGCCCCCCTTCTGGTCTCTGCTAGCACTGACTTGTTTGCGTAATTGCGTGTCCCCCTTCGATCTTGGCTTGAATGTCGATCACAGACTCACATGTTCAGGCATCCCCTTTCGATCCAGTCATTCAGACAAGTGAGTAACAACCTGTGGGAAGTCCAAATGCCACTATAGTATGGTAGCAGAATAGCAGTAATCGTCCTCCTTGTTCATTTGTTAGATTCGTTTGAAAAAACGACTCTTTTAAGACGTGATTAGTACTGTATGTTGCAAATGGAACAGAGGCATGCATCTGCACCAGCTCCGAGCGTGTCAGGCTTAGATATCCCTGTTACCGTAGTTGCTCTAGTTCTACAGATCAATTACCGTATACGTCGTTCAGGCGTTTGGCGGCCAATCTGATTGCAATATACTGTATAGCTGTTGCTTCAGCTCTACGTACAGCTAGGCCGGATGGATTGCTTTGCTTTGCTTGCCACAAGGCACTCTCTGCTAACCGGGCCGTGTCTCCCTGCAGATGGAGATGGTCCTCCAGTGCCAGTCGACAAAGCTGGAGCTGCCCCGGCTGACAGAGGTACTGGAGCTTAGGTATTTGACAAAGTTCGAGTAAAAATGCTCGTGCAAAATGCATTCATCGTCCTTTTCTAAAAAAAATGCATTCATTGTACACAACACACGCAGATGCCGTGCTTGCAAAGGTGGAACTGGACAGGAAGCTGTCGATGGTCAAGGCGTGGGAGGAAAGCGAGAAGAGCAAAGCCGAGAACAGGTACGTCAATGCTCAGCTACACTCTGCTGCCGTGCTATAGGAACAACCAGCTGCTAGTTAGGACGCTTAGCCAGCCAAACTGTTTGATTTACCTTTGTTCTTGCTCGCAATGCAATGAAACGGCGGGGTGCGCAGGGCCCAGAAGAAGATGTCGGCCATCATGTCGTGGGAGAACACGAAGAAGTCGGCCGTGGAAGCAAAGCTGCGAACCAGAGAGGTCTCGCTCAATCTCTCCATCCCACATGCTACTACTGCTGATGATGACCATGTATCACCTGCTGTGCTGAGCTGGGTGAGACTGAAACTAGACGAGGATGCTCACACTGATGACTGCAGGAGAAGCTGGAGAAGAAGAAGGCGGAGTACGCGGAGAAGATGAGGAACCAGGTGGCAGCCATCCACAAGGCGGCGGAAGAGAAGCGCGCGTCGGTGGAGGCGGCGCGGCGCGAGGCCATCCTCAAGTACGAGGACATGGCGGCCAAGCACCGGTCCAAAGGGACTACCCCGGCCACCAAATTCCTCGGCTGCTTCTAGGTGCTGAAAGCAAAGGCAGGCAGGCACCACGGTCCTCATTCCAAAACTTCTGATATAGCTTTATTACGGCGTAAGCAGAGCAGAACGCATATCATCTCATCCTTTGCAGTTTTGGCTTTGGCCCTGCTGGCTCGCTTTGCTGTAAAGCCATGGCTGAAAATACTGTTGTCGTGTACATTAGTACATAGTTACATACATACTCCTACGTGCTTTCGTCCCTCATCTTGGCTATTGCTTTGCTGCGTGGTGGGTGCCGTTGTTTGCTCAAGGGAAATGTAATCCTCTCCTGTATGTCTCGTTGTGTGCCGTGCAGTATGGTGTATTGTAACTGTGTAGTGTATGTATTGTAGCCACGCAGACAACATTTTCAGTACCTCAACGCACGTATGCATCCTGTACATGTTACTAGGATTATTACTTGGATGTTGTTTCAGTCTCGTCAGAGGAATGGAATGCAAAAACGTACGTGCAGCAATGCACAGCCGTTCTAAGGTTGTACTGAAACAAACTATTAGATATTTAGACTGCAACACTAGCTACGTACGTGACTACTGCACGTGTATAGCACTCCTACTTGCAATGCAACTAGAAACAGCAAGCGGCGGCGGCGGCGGTGGCGTCGTCGTGACGGAGCGAGGGACCACGGTCACGATCAGGTGGGGGGCAGCAGGGCGTGGCCGTACCACTCGTTGGCGCGGCGCGCGTAGAGGTAGGCGGCGAGCGCGACGTCGGCGACGGCCACGGCGGCGAGCGTCGCCGCGAGCACCGCCACGCGCACCTTGCCCCAGAAGCCGGCGCGGCGCAGCCGCAGGCGCCGGGCGGTGGTGGCGGCGGCCGCCGCGGGGGCGTCCAGCTCCAGGGCTGCGGCCTCGGCGAGCGCGGTCAGGAGCCGCTTCGACCGCGGGCTGAGCCCGCCGGCGTCGCGCAGCTCGGCCAACGCGTTGCTGATGTCCTCCGGGAGCACCGCGTCGGCCTCGGTGTTGGTGGCGGAGTCCGCGCGCGCTGGCACCTGTGCATCAGCAAGCAGAAGAACAGAACAGGATCCGTCAGGGTTTGGGTGTCTTTCTGAATTTCGAATAACTACACACATGCGAGGGAAACTCATATCGAGGGGAGGATCAAGAGGCCCGATAGAATCAATGAAACAAAGTTGGGCGCTGACTGCAAAACAAAAACGAGTGCATTCCAATTAAAATGGAGGAATCTGTCGCGTTCACAATTACGGTGAAATTGCTCGTGAAATCAAACGGAAACCCTTCAATCCAGATCCCCAATTCCTCTCGAAAAAGTTCATAACACGCCACAAAATCATTCCCGATCAGCGTGAATTTCATATTTCAAATGCTCAAACCCCAGGACAACAAACTCCGATGAAAATGAAACAAACTCGGGCAGTAACACCGCAAAAACACCAAGCAAACATGGCGACGGATCCGCACACAAAGCTTTAATTCCGCGATCCCCACCCACCTCGGTGACGCAGGAGTCGGCGGAAGCAGTCAGCGCGTCATCGACAGCAGCGGAGACGACGGAGGTGGAGGAGGTTTCGCCGGAGACAACGTCGGGGTTCGGGAGCTCGAGGAGCGGGGCCAGGTCGTCCCCCTGCGAGGCGAGCCCGTCCTCTGGAACGGCGTCTGGCGCGGGTGCGGCGGCGGAGGGGAGGGTGAAGTAGTCGTCGTCGTAGACCAGGCACTTGGCCACCACCTGATCAGAGGGCGAAGCCGCGAATTGCACTTGTTATAATAGGCGGGAATGCGAAGGTGGGAGGAGGAGGAGGTGAGGGTAGGGTGGTACTGGGAAGGTTTACCTTGGCGTTCGAGGCGGAGTCACGGTGGGTGGCGGCGGCGACAGGGAGCTTCGACGCGGCGGAGGCGGCTGCCGACGAGGAGGTTGATCCGACGGAGCTGCGAGTGGCGGAGCAGGAGGAAGTGGAGGAGGATGAAGAGCGGAGCGCGGAGGGGCGCGGGGTGTGGATGGCGGCGGAGGGTTTCGCCATGACGGTGCGGTGCGGCGCGAACTGGGCGCGAGGGAAGGAGCGTGCGACTGCGATCAGGGCGGCGTGGAGACCCCGACTGGAGAAGGGGGTAAAGGGGTTGGGAGGAAGGTGGGCTTGGGCAGACTAGAGGAGAAGACGGACTTTGGGCCAGGATGGGCCTTTCTGTCGGTTCAGAGTCCTGTGTTCTTCTGAGCCTCGTAAGGGTTGTGTTTTTCAGCCATGTTTAGATAAAAATAATAAAACTAAATAAAAACTCTAATCTAATATAAAGTATAAATAGAAATAAAAAATGCTCCTATATGAATAATAATTCAATTTAGCTTGAAAATATAGCATGCACATAAAAATTACAGTTTAATATGGCATAATAAGTACAATGATACTCTTTTTTTCTCTTCAATGCTAGGTGAGTGATCCTCCTCTTATTCTTTGTTGCAAAAAATGTCAGGTTGGGTTAGGTATTAGGGTTGTTTTGCAACGGCTTAGGGGAATGCCACAGGTGAGTTATATGGCGCATAGTGGACATTATGTGTTCAAGGATGGAAGATGGACAATGGTGAAACACACATGTACAAATTATGCATGAACCTGTTGTAAGACATGCTTAATAGTTCGAGCTGACAAGGCTGAATTTATTTCACAATTTATTGATAATGAGACATATACTCACTTTGTTTTCCCAATCTTCAAAGATGCCCTTGGAAACAGTATGTAGTATGTAGTAGATCTATACTCTCCCGTCCTATAAAAAAAAAAATAAAAAGTGTCATTCCACCTTTTGATAAATAAGTAATTTTAATTTTGACTGAGCATATATAAGAACATATTAATATTTATGATGTATAATTAATATCATTAGATAAATCATTAAATATAATTTCATAATAAACTTATTTTAAAGATATAAATGTTGGTAATATTTTTTATAAATTTAGTTATAAATTTTAAGAAAGTTTGATCGGCACTCATGCCATAGTAACATTTCTTTTGGACAGAGGGAGTATGTTCTACTGTTGTGGGATTGATGATATCTATATATATATCTATATAATAAAGAGGTAAAATTTCAGGCCATTTCTTTCGTCCATCCATTTTTTTTGGTCCGTCTCCCTCTAACTATCGGACAACGGAAGTTTCTTTTGTTCAGACTTATATATATAATACGAAGAATTTCTTCTAGCATGATCTGAGTTCGATTTTTATATATATATATATATATATATATATATATATATATATATATATAGTATAAATATATATACAAAGAGTTTCTTAGTTTTGTTCTTTTTTCAATTCTGTTATTCCCAAGTCGTACAGTTTCAGTTTTTCCACATTAGATTTATGTCGTATTGGTTCAAGGGGTTTCTTTTTTTTTCCAGGTTTTGTTCCTTTATTTTTCCTTATCCTTTTTTCTTCCACGTTCAACTTCTTTTTTCACCTTTTCTTTTGTCACGTTCGGTCTCCGAATGTTGACTCCCAGAGTCTTTTTCTTCGTTTGATTTTATGTATTGTTTCCGTTCTAATTTGTTCTGTTGTTTCTATAAAATTTTAAAAAATATAATTATAATATTATGGATCTTTTAACTCTTGGTAAAATAATTATTTTATTATAACTGGTTAAACTTTTGATCTAACTAATCAAACTTTAAACTGAAATATTAACCAGTTTGTTGTTTGGTTTGGTCTAAATAAGTTTGTCTCTAAACTCAGTGCAATCTCCAACAAAGGTTACATGTGGCAAACTTAAAAGGGCTCCCGTCATATCCGTCATAATTATCAACAGATATGTCGGTTCTTGATTATGGGCCCCTCAAGAAAGCCCTAGAACTCAATATTTCACTGTATCAATGCATATAGATGGTATGGAAATATTTATATGCTTTGTAACCGGAGAAAAAAAACCTATAAAGATTGTATTTTAAATTCGATACAGAATTAATAGGACATTATTGTATTATTGTCAATATTAGCTTATATTAGATGTCATGATCATTAGAAAATAAATTATAGATTTGAAGCTCTATAAAAAAGTAAAATATGAATAGATATATACCATTTTTGTCGTCTTTTTTATGAATGTATAAGAGTCTTTTTAAACAACGCAGGGCATATTTGCTGCTAAAAAGAGAGAAAAGAGGTAAACGTATACGGACTGACACGGCACGGAGTAATACACGAATATACCTCCTCCAACACAGACAGCTTGTGGATCGGATTCTTTCTTCTCTTCCACGTGGGGCCCACCTTCAATTCAACCCTTATCATCTGACGAGGCAGGTAGCCGAAACCGAAAAATAGATGAGCACACTGCAGATTAGACCTGCGGATCTATCCACGCCGCGGAACAAAGCCGTCGGATCGATCGATTGATTTCGCGCCGGGTTTCCCTCCCGTCTCCACGCCCGCTCGCGGATTCGCAAGTCGCAAGGTCCAATCCTGATTTCTTTTTTCCTGATCGCGGATTCCGCCTACCAAACCGGCGATCTCGTTCTCTGATCCAAGCCTCTTGCTTTCGATTGCTGGTGCTGCATGCGCAGGAAGGGAAGAGGCGGCGGCAATGGCGGGGAGAGCCAACATCCCGACCAACAGTTCTGCGCTAATCGCCATCATCGCCGATGAGGTAGCTCGCTGCCGTTCCATCTTTCTCCCCTGAATTTCGTCTCATTACTCGGGGATCGGGATGTTTCCTTATCTGTGTGTGTGAAGATGCTAGGCTGTCAAGTGGTTGAGTTGATAAAAAGAAACGCATGATACTTCGTCTCCGGCAGAGATCAGATCCGTGGTAGGACGCTCTGAACCAAGAGAGATTCCTCGCTGTTCCCTTTCTCGCTAGTAGCCCTGTTCGGCTCGCTGAAATTCGGCGGCTGCTGCTGCTGCTGATTTGTTTTGAGAGAAACAACGTTCCTTCGCTGAAAAGTAGTGCTGATAACTGTTGTGTTAGCTGTTCAGCGGCGATGGATCTGTCGATCGATTTCTTGCTGTTCAGCACTGAACTCATTATCTATGTATTATTGCGCATAAGTATTAATAGTTAGGTTACTGTACGAACACAGCAGTCACCAAATGCTAGGCTATTATCCTGCCATCATAAGAAGGGAACACAGAAATAGTGCTGTTTCCGTGTTTTGACTGTTCTGTATGGACAGCTGAACAGAAACTAGTTGGTGGTCTACTACTTGATAGCATAGTATTTACTTCATGCATATTTGATAAACAGACATGTTTATTCTAATATAATATAGATAGATGCGAACGGAAGCATAATGCACTTGGTAACACAGTATTTACTTCACAAACAAGGCAACACGTCACATGTTTGTACTGGAGTGCAGCATAATGCACTTGGTAGCATAATGCACTTGCTGAACATAGATACAGCTGGGTCATCTCCCATGCCACTTAACAGCAGCTACCAACGAACTTTAAAATGGACTTAAGTGGCATGTAATGTAAGGCACCCATGTTTGAGTCGATGGCAATTAAGGAAGAACTACTTTTCCAGTGCCAAATAAGACACCACTTTAATTTCTGATGGCAACTAAGGAAAAAAAAAACTTTCTGGTGGTCAAGCAAAATGATTACCGAGAGAGCCCTGATATAATTTGACAGTGCTTTCTGGGCACTGGGATAGACTTATCGTAGTAGACACTAGACTGTGCTTCTCCAGTCAGAGGGTTGCCTTTTAATTTTTATCTTAATACCTGTCAGATGTCACCTTGAGAACAGCCAGTTTTTTTTATTATTATTCTTTACGGCCAGGTTTTCTAATTTAATCTTAGTGCACAATTATAATTCCACTATGGGAATGATTTTGTTGTCTCGACTTTATTTTTCAGGACACGGTGACTGGCTTTTTGTTGGCTGGAGTTGGCAATGTGGATCTGAGAAAGAAAACAAATTATCTTATTGTTGATAACAGTAATTCCTTGAAACTGTTAATATGCAAAGCCATTTAAGTTGTCTATGGTAGTTTGAACTTTCCTAGCTTTTGACTTCACAGAATAATGATGTTAACTTTCATACGAAGGTCATACATGACTTGCCAACTAATCCATAGTACTAATAGAGTTAAATGTTCAACTTGATTAATCTTTTGAAAGCTCTGCAGCATAGTGCGCTCACAGAAAAATGGCCTCCGGTCATTCTGTGTCACTCAGTTTATTGTAATATCGGCATGCCGTAGATTGCTTCAGCAATGGTTCTTCGTAGTGATGTTTTTTATGGTAGATTTTGTGCAAAAAAATTGTACTTGAACATTACACAATCATCTGTGAATTCCAGTGACCAGTTTAGCTAATGTGTTGAACCTGAAGTTGCTCTATTGGGCTGTAAATTGCTCTGGAAGATACTCAATGTGACTTTGTAAATTGCTCTATTTAGGTTTTCCTTTGGCAGTTGGTGTACTTTTTTTGAACGATGAAAGCTAAAGCTTTCAGAAAACTGAATTTTATTTTCTAGCTCAACTTTTTTTATGGCTCCTGTGTTTAGTTGAAATGCTGATCTGCTAGCATTAACTTTTTACTTTTATTTATATTGTTATTGTTTGTTAGTATGTTGATGATAAAATCCTGTGTGTTTATGCTACAGAAACAACAGTTAAACAAATTGAAGATGCATTTAAGGAGTTCACCACTAGAGAGGACATTGCGATTGTACTCATCAGCCAATATGTAAGTAATCTTGTTTAATACAGTTATTTTTTTGTCCACCTATTTATTCTTTTGTATCATGGGATCATGGCAGAGCTAATTTTTCTGCCTCAAAAGTTTCAGGTAAATGAGTTCTTCTGTTAAATTTGCTCTGAATTCTAAACACATTAAAATGTACCTTTTAGTTTTAGGGGTAAAATTATGGAGCTTGTGGTATTTCATCACGACATACTTGCCTACCCCCCTGCAGGTGTAATTAATCAAAATCCACTTAACCTTTGGTTGTGCTTAGTTCTAGACCTACAGGAAAGTGCTTGCTCAGTCTGCAGAACTTAGGCTCCTAATATTGAA